TGCTGCAGCATTCAACAAGCACCCTCTCTTACTAGCCACAATAGCCTTACAACTAAGACACCAACTACATCTTTCCCTTGGTACTTCCACGAGCTTCTTTTCTGTATTTGGCCAAAAAAAACGCACTGCTACTGATGAGAAAGCTTTAGCTTGAAGCAGAAAACTTGCAGATATTTGTTTACGCCTATTGTCTGAAACACGAGTCTCAGATCCCTGATTTTCTTCGGAAGAAAGGATAGCTAGACTAGCAGCAGCAGATGCCGCAAATTCTCCATGCAGGTAACTATTTATATATCCTTGAGGTTTGAAAGATGAACCCATGTATAAGCAACCTCTTCCTTGGGACACCATGACACCAGCATAAGTACCATTAATTTGTTCCAAGTAGTTACTGTGGCTTGAAGCATGTATAGCAGTCTTTACCAAATTTGGGCCATCTTGTTCAGTCCACTCAGAAGGAATAAGTTGCTGGTCAGCTGAACCAGTACATGCAATGGATTTCACTTGAATTTGTTCAGATGGAAACGAATCCATAGGTGTGTTACTCTGTCTTGCTATAGAATCAATATTTGCCAGACAGAGACCATCAGGTCGGGAAACTGCACCGAGATTCTCATTCTGCATAGGTTCCATCGGGAAGTTGCCTAGAAGAACATTTCCTGGACCATATCCAGTGACACAACTTGCAGTATTCTCCACCCCAGGACTTTGTGATGACGCAAGGCAACCACCTGTGGTGCCTTCTCCTTGCCTCCTAATTTCAGAAAGGTCACCATTGGGGAATATGATATTGACTGGAAGTTTCCAGTACTGAATAATTCCTTTGCATATTTCCAAATATAAGGAATAATGCTGCACATTGGCATTGAGCGCATGTAGGACCTTGGGTATGTCTTTGTCATAGTAGTATCTGACATTACAGTCTGACCCAGCCAAAGCCTTCAACCTATAAAAGACGATTAAAAATTACATTAAAAAAGAGAACCAGAGGTAGATTTCAGCATGAACTACTTAAGATTAAGGGATTTATATATCTCCACAAAGAATATCCCATAATAAAATACTGCAACTTAACAGAGTCAATAAATATAGAAGTTAAGAGACGTACACAAGTAGATGATTGCAAGTACCCATAAAGACTTGTCCATAGGAATCAACACCAAACACCTCTGATCCTTTCAGAGTTGTTCCCCTTGTAATTTTGGGCTCAAGCTCATTGACTGTGCACTCGGGGCAATACCATGCTCCTTCTGGTATATACATCTTGCAAACACCAATGCACCTACCATGGTAAGATGATGGACAGCCATCACAGCAAAGTAATGTTCCATCCATACCGCAGAGACGGCACTCATCACCATTACCATCTTGATCAGCATCACGAATGGAATCTTGTCCACTAACTTTGGGACCCAAAGAAATAGTATTAGAAGAGACATTTGTTCCACTGTTTTCTTTACTAAGCTTGATGACTTCTTGGTCCTTGCAAGCAGAAGTTTTAGAGTACCGTGGATGCACTCTGCGTGGTCCAATAACTGGGGCAAAAACTGTACTGCCATCCGAATCAATTCCTACCTCTGATTCCTCGCGCATGTCAATTTCTTCTCTTAGCTCTTCAGAATCTAGGACACTGTCGCACAAGATCTGCAGAACTATGAGTTTCCTGCCAGCAGATAATGAGTAGTATTCCTTCTCCAAAGTATGGGGATAAAAACCTTTCCAACCATGTTCATCCGTGTATCCCATTCCCGTTAAATAGTGAACTAGATAAGCAGCCCAAGTCATTGTATCAAGCAAGCTCCAATCAATGTTCCTAGAGCAGGCAGCAATAGTTAAGCTCCCAAAATGTACACTACTAAATTGTATAATTATATAGTAACCTAAATAAGAAATCCTGAAAGCACAACTGCACTGGCTCTTGCTTATGCTGAAATAAATACATTAATTATGCATTTCAAGATGTCTTCCATGAAAAATACAGTGACAGGGAATAGTCAACAAAAGTGAATAACTGCTACTGCTTGCAAAAATGATACATAATCATCAGAAAAAATATTCAAGCACAAGGGCAGGACAAATTGCAGTGGTTGGGGAACAATAAAGGGACTTTTAAAGTAATTGCAGTATATAGGAAGTTGAACCACTAATCATGCAGGCACCCAAATGGCCCTGGAAACACATCTGGATTCTGGAAGGCCAAGATCCCACACAAAGTGGCCTGTTTTGTGTGGTTACTGGCTAAGGAAGCTGCAATGACAGAGGAGAATTTGATGAAGAGGGGGATTCCACAATGCTCTAGATGCTTTTTTTGTGGGGAACCTGAAAAGACAGTCAATCACTTGTTCATCCAGTGCAAGGCCACTGGCCAATTGTAGAGTCCATTCCTAAGGCTCAAAAACATCTCATGGGCCATGCCTGGTAGAATTTCAGAGGCCATGTACAGTTGGGAAGAAGCAGGATCACAAGCAAAGAACAGAAGCAACTGGAAAATCATTCCTGCTACGATTTGGTGGACTATTTGGAAAGAGAGAAATCTTAGAGTTTTTGAGAATAGGGAGAGTAATATGCATCAAGTAAAACTGAATTGTATTCTAACTTTGTGTTTTTGGTTTAATCAGATTTACTCTAATGACAGTCTCTATTATTTTAAGACTCATTATAGGGATAGGACAGTGCCTTTAGAGTTCATTATGTAAATATGGTTTTCAGTACAAACTACAACCCATGTACTGATTTACAGAACTAGAAACAGTTACCAATCTCAAAAAAAAAAAAAAATCATGCACATCCCAAACATACAAACAATGTCATACCACGATTAATTAAGACAACTAAACTGTCAGGAAAGTATGTCATTCAATGCCTTAATACAGGTAAAGTCAAACTGCATGAGGACATACTGTAATGGAACTTCATGTCATAAACCATCATTTGTATTCTTCTTCTGACAAGTTATCTAGCTTTTAGTCTATTTTACTGCGTCATAATCAAGGCATTCTTCAAGTTCAGTGATGTATTTTTTGGAAGGACAGCATGACAGGAAGCACCTCCCAAGGGATTCAAAACCAAAACAACATTAAAGTAAAACTGACTAGAACTAGGTCCAACAGATTTTCGAAAAATATCCTAAATGAAATAGGCAAATATACTCACCTTAGGCATTTTGATGCAAACTCAGAACCATCAGATGACAGCTTCTCAAGGTGACGCCTCAAAACACGCATTAGAGCAACATGAACAGAGTCCAGCAACGAGTTTGGAACAGAACAGCTGAGTGCACCCACAAAGTCATCAAGTCCAAAGGGACTCAGAAACAATGTGGTACTAAATGTCCGTAAAAAGCTATAAATGGACAAAAGGTGTGGTACATACTCCTCTGGAATACCAATATTGCCAGAAGATGGAGGCAGTTCAGGTGCAGGAACAAAAGGTTTTTCCACCTCTGAATTTAAATCCTGCTCCTCGTCATCTTCAGAAAAATTGCTCAGTGAATCGGCATCAGTATCTACTTGCATCTTCTCAAGTTTAACAGGACAATCATTCCTCAAGTCACTCGAAACTGGCACTTCTACAATCCTATCAACTACAGCACTTATCGGCTCAGCCTCAATCTCAACCTGAACAGCAACATCCTTTACCTCCCTACCTGCCACCATTTCATTCAACTTTTTCTTCCTATCCAACCATTCACCAACCAACTCATCCTCTTCAACCAAAACCTCTTTCAATTCACCCGTATCCAAATCTTCACAATCACCATCATCATAATCAACCCTATACAACCCCGAATCATAAAACATAATCTTCCCCAAAAACAACCCATTTCCCTCAAATTCCTTCCTCACATACCTACCCACCAATGATTTTGGCTTCAATCCAACAGCCCTTTTCTTCCCATCCTGATCAACCTCCACATTTGTAACATCCTTTCTTCTCCTTTTCCTCCCTCTCCGTTCTGATCTCACCACACCACCCTCCATTCCACAAACCCAACTCAAATTCCAATCCAATTCACACCATAAACCAAAAAAATCCAGCAAAATCAAAATCTGGGGTTCCTTCCCTCACTCAACAATCGCACTGTCCCAACAAAATCCACTCAAATTTTAGCCTTTTACAAATTCTTCCTTCAGATCGCAAAAACCCAACAAAAAAAACAAACAAAAAATCAGCAAAATCTTACCATTTTATACAAATCTAAAACTACCCTTTACAGAAAAATGGAAGTTCAACAAACATAAACACACAAACACCATATAAAACACATAAAAATCTTACCTTTTCAAGAAAAAACCGCAAGCACCGCCATTGAAAAGCCAAATGGGATAATGAAAATGTATAGATAAGAGAAAGGGGAAAAGGGGTTATAGCCCTAAATACCAAAAGGCAAAATCAAGATTCTTCAGTAGCCAAAGTTTAATGGTGTGGGCTTTCTGGATATTATTTTCATTACCCAAACCATAACTCAGTTGAGTCAATAATTCAAAAAATTAGTCATTTCAATGTTTTGATTGTTTTATGAGGAAAATATTTTTCACTAACTAGTTATTTTTTGTTATAATTATCATGATATTGGGCGATAGTTATTTCAGAAAAATAAATTATTTAAATATTTGATTATTTTATGATGAAAATAATTTTCACCGAATAGGGAGGGAAATGAGTTTCCTCGCTTTTTCGGTGACAGTTATTTTCCATTATGACTATTATAGTTTTGGCGATAGTTATTTTTTGTTACAAGTATTATATCGTTCGGCTACGTATAACGGCTCCAACCACCATTTAAATGTTACTTTTTGGTACTTGTTTTTTATTTGAGTGATATTTGATTTATTAACGTTATTATTGATCATTAATAAATAAGTTACTACAGATAATTATCATGAATCATTATATATTTATTTTAATTAAAAAGTATGTTCATCATTTGGCAGAGTGAAATGCACTTCTATAAAGCAACATAACATTACTTTATATCGCAGTAGAATGCATGAAGGAAACTTTTACTCATTAAATTGTGTATTTTTTTCTATATAAACACACGTTGATACCTTTTACGGTAAATTGTAATACTTTCTAATGAGTATCATTTTTGAGTTATGTAAAAATTGTAGTTGTGATTATTCTTTAAGATATTCAAACTCAAACATAATTAAAAATTATAATACGCAACTATAAAATGTATCATAATAACTCGTAATTGTATACGAGACATTCAAATAACTTACACAACTATATCGTCGTATTAGGAATAACATGTATTTGATCATCAAAAATTCTACCAAATACATGTTAATTCTCTAATAATTAACTTATATTTCTTAATACTAGCGTAGACCTACCTAATAAGTTGCATAATTATGTAAATAATTTGTATACCGTTAAAATTCAGAAGATTTAATTATAATATACATTTATGAGTTAATATTGAGAAAAAATAATTATTATCCAGAAAAATTCAAATAATACATGTCAAAACACAATTATCAACAATTGTATATATTTACCTATATTGATTACAGCGGGAACCGTTGGAATTCATCCATCCTTAATCAAAAATCTCAAAATTCAAATCCCTATACATATATATTATAACGCAATAAATCTAATTTAATCGACCTTAATATAAATACCTAACACAAAAAACAAAATTGAAGTAATAAAAAGGTGGTGGGGACATAAAGGGAAAAAAAAATAATCACCATGTAGTGAGTCAACTCGGTTTCATTTTAATTTTCATTAAACTTTTTTTTTTAAAAAAAACTTCTCCATTACACCTAACAAATAGCAGCAAATTTATTGGCGGGAACAAAATGCTTTAATAATTTTGTGTTACCCGCCAAACATCTTTGTAACTTTTAAAAATATATCCTAAAATATTTTGCACATTTTAGTATTCTTTTGGAATTTTACATTGATTGTCATATTTTATTTATTAGTATGTCCTATGCTAAGTAACAAATACTCAATTAAATTATGTTTAATACATTGATAATTCTTAAATTTGTTAGTAATTTTTTTTTAGATATTTAAAATACAAATTATTTTAACTAACACATGATGAAGTGTTCATATTATCTTGTGATAAACTTAACTATTTAATAGACGCTTCAAATATATGCATTTTTTTCATGTGTTCAATCAAAAAAATTTACTTGGACCCTTGAACACATCGTAAGTGTTCTTTTTAGACATGGGGTGTCGGGTATCAAGTCATTAAATATCAGAGTTGTATCTTTTTATTTTTATTAACATTAAAATGTTTGAATTAATAATTTAATTGCTCGAATCTCAAAATATGTATTAATATTTAGATGTATGAAAAAAATACACATTTGAATATTAATATATATTATAATTTATATACTAAATAATTAAGACTGGTGATTAAATTTTCAATATTTAAATATATAAAATTGACTTTATTTTAAACTTAATAAACGTAAAATTCAACAAAATACGAAATCGATCTAATACTATATATATATGTGTGTGTGTGTGAGAGACAATTGACGATGGTGATGATTGTCATGGATGCTAATTGAAGTGATGTTGCCTAAGGGTGGCAACGGAACCGGGAGGTTCCGGTTCCGATTCCGGTCCGTTACCGATTCCGTCTCGGTTCCGGATAGTACCGGTTATATCCGGACTTGTTCCGGTCCGGGAGGGGTAACGGGACGGAAACCGGGATTTACCGGTCCGTCCTGGTCCGGTTAGTCCCAGTTCCGGTCCGGTTCGGAACTTTTTTTTTTTTTTTTTTTAATCTGAAAATTTGAAAAATAGTCGTTGAGAGCCGTTGGGCAACGGGTTTTTGGCCCCACCAACGGCTCTTTCACCCCATAATCCCCCATTTACACCTCCCTATCCCCCAAACTTTTTTTAATACCCCAAACTTCTTAAAACTACATTTTCAACCTTTTTTTTAAACTATAAATACCCCTAATCTTTCATTCTTTTCACTCACAAAAATATCTTATAATCTCTCTACTCTCTACTCTCTAAATTCTCTTATTCTCGACTTCTCGTTAAAATTACGAATTTGATCTTTGGAAATTGGAGCTTCAAAATTCAACTTTCAATTTTCGCCTTCCGGTCATACACGTCTACTTTTTTAAGTAGACGTTTGGTACATTCGTTTCAACTCACTTTTCATTTAGTTATTTATTTGTTTACATTTAATTATTTATTTTGTGAGTAATTAATCTCTAGTCTCTACTTATTTAGTTGTTTATTTGTTTAAAACTTTGCTAATCATTTTCGTATTATATATAATTTGCTCACTTTTTATATTTTGAATATGGATTTTGGAAAAAACATTATTGAAAAGGGTAAAACAACCATAGTTAATTCGTTCACTAATTTATCTAGCTCAAAATCCAAGAAAAATAAAAAAACCGGTAGTACTTCTCAATCTAAAACTAAAAAAACTTCTCAATTAAGAATAAATACGGATGATTATACGCATGTTGATGAAACTGTTTTTAATATTGATAGTAATAGTGGATTAGATCCTTATCATGAACATTTACAAAGAAGATTTGGTAATTTTGAAGAGGAATTACCTGAAGTGAACATGATGTTAATGATTATGTTGATAGTTTTGATAATAATGTTGATGAATATGATGATGATGAAACTGAGCCACCGTCGGCTACTAGTCCCCCTCCCAATCCCTCTTCCCCGGCTCCCGCTCCCTTTCGTTGTCCTGCTCCCATTCCCCCCGTGCATCCTAGGACTAAGGTAGAACGCGCTAAAAAATCAGTTGTGTGGCAATTTATGACTCAGAATGAAGATAAAACACAAGCTATTTGTAATAAATGTAAACATAGAATGAATCATAAAACTGTAGGAAAACAGGGTGGGACGGGACATTTGAGTAATCATTTAATGTCATGTTGTAAAAATAAATTTTTGCATGCTAAAGCTGTAGCCGAAGCTAAAAAAAATGGTACCACCCTTCCTGAAAATGTAGGAGTAGATGGCTCTAATATGGTCCAAACACAATTAAATCCTTCTAATGTTTCTGGTTCTAGTATACAACGGTCATATAGTAGAGAAAAAGATCTTGAAGAATTAGCTAAAATGATTGTTGTTATGGGTTTGCCATTTAGTTTTGCTGAAAATCCCGGTTTTATTCATTATATTCAAATTATGTATAATCCACATTTTAAAGGTTTTACTAGAAATACAATTAAAAAGGCTATCTTTGATTATCAAGCTCAACATTTTCAATATCTTCGTTGTTTATTTTATTATAACAATTGTAAAATAGCTATTACTTCTGATATGGGTCGTAGTGTAAATGGTAATGATTATTTCACAATTACTGCGCATTGGATTGATGAAAATTGGACTTTGCAAAAAAGAATTTTAGGTTATAAATGTTGTGAAATGCATAAAACCGGTAGTTATATAGCTCAAACAATTATAGATGTTTTGCAAAACTATGAAATTTGTGATAAAATAAGTAGTGTCACATTAGATAATGCTTCTAATAATAGTAATGTTGTTGAAATACTAAAACCATCTCTTTGCCCTATTTATATTGATGGTTTTCATATTAGGTGTGCTGCACACATATATAATTTGATTGTTAGAGATGGTATAGCAATATATGATGATGGTTGCACAAAAGTTGAAACTGCATGTCATTTTATTTTTTTAAATGTCAAGTTAAGTCTAGACGTAGAGATTTTGAAAATCGTTGTCGTGAATTTAATCTTCCACCTAGAAAAATTCCAAAATCAGTGTGTACTAGATGGAATTCTTTATTTGAAATGCTTGAAGTTGCTTATGAATATAGGAAACCTTTACAAATGGTTTGGAATGCTCATAATTCAAATATGACATATAGACTTGATGATAATGATTGGAATGACATAAAAGAACTTATAGAATTCTTAAAAGTTTTTTATTTAACTACAAAAAAAATATCTGCACTTTATTATCCAACTATTTGCTCTGTTTTACCTAATATTTGTGCTATTTCTACTAAATTTTATAAATTCAAAAATAAACCAAGATTTGAACAATCTGTTAAGAAAATGATTGAAAAATTTTAAAAATATTTTATTCCTATTCCTCAAATTTATTTAACTGCTTGTTTGTTAAACCCACATTACAAAGATGAAGGTGCATCACGAATGGTTGATAAAATATATTTTAATTTGGGTATTGATAGTGAAGATGATGAAACACCTAGTTGTCAAAATGTTAAAGATAGTATAAAAATTGAAGCTAGAAAATTGTACGACTTGTATAATTCTAATATAAGGAATGTAGTACATAACGAAGAGCCTCAAAGTTCTAGGAGTAGATATAATAATGAAGATGATATTGATGATATGATAGATTGTATTATTGAACTTTCTCATAATGATAGAAATGATTTTGATGCATATATTAATCAAAATACAGAACCTACTACTATTGATCTTCTAGAATGGTGGAGCAATCGCGGCAAAGGATTTCCAAAACTACAACCGGTTGCTCGAGATGTGTTAGCTATTCAAGCATCTTCAGTAGCTTCGGAAGGCGCTTTTAGTGCAGCAAGATTTCAAATTGGAGAGCATAGATATTCATTAGCAGCAGATAGCTTGGAGATATCCGTACTATTTAGAGATTGGATTAAGGAGTTATGGTCGTCCACCTCTACCGACCAAATTTGAAAATGACGTTGATGAAATAATGCTAGATTTTAGTGATGACGGCATTGATGCAATGGAAGAACTAGCTAATCAACCAATTCCAGAGCATGTTACTAGAGAAATGTTAAATGATTTAAAAAAAGATTTCCTTGGTAGCATGAACTATTAAATTTAAATGTCTATTAGTATGAGTATAATAATTCGAGGTCTAATTCAAACAGAACCCTTCCTAGAAGGTGGCTGTGTAGATTAGATTTTTTAATACTCTACTAATATTTTGTAACTCAACTTGTACTATTTAATTAATATTAATAAAAGTATAGGCTATTCGCCTTAATTTTTTTTTATTATTGTCTTCAAAAGTT